TAACGACTGGGGCGAGGCCGGAGGCAGCCTCTCTCCGAAGGGCAGGAGGCCCCAGGTTCCGGTGCGCCCACGGGCTTCGGCCCAGCCTGTCTCGTGCCATCCTCTGGCCCTCACGTCCCCTCCTGTTCCCAGACCTTAGACCTCCGCGGCGGGGCTGGCGGGTGGGATGCTTTCAACATTCCTGGAAGGCACTGATAAATGTCTGTGATGTGAATAGATGAATAAATATTTATTAATAATAGTCGATGTTATGAGGCCAGCACTTGGCATGGCGATTAAGGCGCTGGACTCCCACATGACTGACTGCAATTCCAGTCCTGGACCCCGGGGCTGGAAAATCACGCCTGGTGTGTGTGCATGTGTGCTCAAATCCCAGCAAGAGAATGGAGAAGGGATTAGGGTGGCCATCCCTCCTGGGGGGTGATTTCTCACTTTCCCTGTCTCGTCTCTCTCTCTCCATTAAGTGCTCACACCTTATGACCAAAACAAAACAAAACGAAAAACTTTAAAAAACGGTACAGTAAACACTAATGAATGAATGAGTGACACCTAACAGTGTTTCCCAGGACACCTCCAGCCCCCCAACCAAACCCTCACCACCTCTCAGGGCTCCTGCTGAGAGGGATCTCCATCCTCCAACCCCTTCCCCCAGCTGAATCGCAAAGGTCGCAGCACTCCGGTATCCTGCCAGATTAAGAGGGGTCAGCACCTCTCACGAGGCAAAGAGGTGCTCAGAGAGGACCTCCCCGTCTGTGCCAACCTCCTCCGAGTCCTGGACTCCTGGAGTGTGTGGCCGCAAAGGCAGGAAAACAGCCTGGGTGTTGTGTGCTGAGTGGGGAGTGGGCCAAGGGGCCGTGCTCCATTCACCCCAGTCTGGTGCCTCCCGGGCTGGCCAGAACTAGCTCCACTGGACAGAGCCAGAGAACTCAGCAATAATTCAGGGACTCCAGCTCATTGGAACTTGTCGCCAAGAAACAGAGAGACAGGCACGTGAGTCCCTGGGGAGCGGAATCAGTTTCCAGCCCAGACAAAGGAGTGAAATGGAAGCCTAGGGTGCTGATGGGGACCTGGGGACCTTCCCAGTCCAGTTCCTGAAGTCTGAGTGTGGAAGCATCAGAGGGGGCGCCAGTGTGTGGGCCCTAGACCCAAGGACTCTGGAAATGGAAGAATGCTTTTCTGGAGCCATCTGACATCCACAGCCTCTAGTACCTGGAGGCCCAAGACGGAGGCCTGTCTCTCTCTCTCAATGTCTGCATTATTCTCGGCCATATAGGTCAGGACAAGGGGTTGAGGCGGTGGAAGCCTGCTCCATCCTGCCCCACTCCAGACTGCTTTGGATCGGGTTCCCATGCTGGGCACTGTGCCAACTGGGGAGGATGGTGCATCTTTAATGATGTCACCGGACCCCTGGGACAAGTGCTGAGCCTCACCACATTCCTGGAGCCAGACCAGTGGTGCCCACTGAGCCACTGCCTTCCTGGGCCTGGGTTCTAGGCCACTCTCCTCCGCAGCCATGAACCAGGCCTTTTGGAAAACCTACAAGTCCAAAGTGCTCCAGACCCTGAGCGGGGAATCTGAGGAAGGCCTGGCAGAGGAGGTGGGTACCACGCTGTTGGGTGGGAGTAGGGGTTGCAAGGAGGGCCAAGGGACGGGCTCTGACAGCAGGGCACGTTTGTGCAGAAGCCACTGGCATGTTCGGGATGGCAGCGTTCGGTGCAGGGGCAGAGAGCCGGGACACAGAGGAAACTGAGGACGAGAAGAGGGGGCCGTGGGAGGAGTGGCCCACCTCCAAAGATCACAAGGGCTGCCACCTGGAAGTTTCTTCAAGGCCCAGTGGGCAACAGCCTCTTGGGGCACATTTAGCTGCCACAACTTCTGAGGGGCAGAGCTGGGAAGTGGAGGGCCTGCCTGGAGGGTCACGAGCCCCCAGCACGGGGAGTGGCACGTGTACTCTGAAAGTCACTGTGGCCGCATCAGATGAAAGCCGTACTTAGACTCTGTTTTATGTCAGCATTTGTTCTGACAAAGAAGACATCAAAAATGTCTCCACAACTGGGAACGGGTTTAGGGCTAGAGGCTGGGACAAGTGGCAGTCATACACAAAGGCATGGCGGGGCGGGACTGGTCCTGTGTGTGCGTGTGAGCAGTGCACGTCTAGACAGGCTGGGGCCCAGGCCGGGCAGTGAAGTGCCCGTGCTGGTTCTGACACCTGCGTGGGACCCCACGGATTCCACGTGCAGGTGTGAGCTGGCTCTGGGTGTCCTTGGGGTGCACATTTGGGGCAGGGTCAGGAGGCACCCCGAGGGCCTGAGTTGTGTGGGGGCACGTGTCTGCGTGTCTGTGTCCTGCAGGCAGGTGTGGCGGCCTCTGTGTGCCTGCCTGCAGCGAGCTGTGCCCAGGTGTGAGCGGTGAGCCGTGTGCGTGTCCCGTGAAGGCGCCTCATAGCACACACGTCTGTGGACAGGCAGGCCTAGCCGTGGGAGCGGAGGTGTTCAGGCTCAGCCGTGAGCTTTCGTTAGTGTGCATGCCCTGGTCCATGTTTCCGGGTGTGTGTGGATGTGTCCGGGTGGGCAGGTACGGGTGCATGGGTGTGTGCGGGGTGTGTACACACACTGTAGAGGTGTGTGCGAGGCTGGCACTTTGTGGAGGCACACCTGTGTGCACCCGAGAGCACCCACAGAGGAGCGAGGTGCAGTGTGCCCAGTTCGGGGCAGGTCTGGGCGCTGGCAGTGGCAGAGGCAGGGCCGCTCCTCGGGGGCCTCTCATGCCAGGTGGGGTCTTGTGTCCCAGAGGGAGAACCCAGCTTTCGTGGAGTCTGAGACTGCAGAGCCCACCGGGGAGGCCTTCAGCCCTGTGACACAGTTGGCCCGCAGGGTGAGTTCTCGCTTCGTCCAGCTGCCCTGGTAGCCGAGGAGGGTATGGGGGGGAGTGGGCGTGTGGGTGCGTGGGGGTACCCCAGAGGTTGTGCTGCAGCCCGGCCCTTGGCTGACCCCCAGCCCCTCCCAGGTTCAGGGGGTCGGGGTGAAAGGCTGGCTGACAATGTCGTCTCTGTTCAACAAAGAAGATGAGGACAAGCTGCTGCCCGCGGAGCCCTGTGCGGACCAGTATGTGTGTGTTCGCGTTCGGGGGCGGCTCTGGAAGGGGCCGGGGACCCCTTCTGCCAGGTCCTTTCCATCGGCTCTGGTTGTCCTTCCGACCGCGGGGGCGGGAGGGGGCAGCCCGGGCTGTTTCTGTTCCCTAAGCAGGAAAGAGGCCGAGTCAGCGTGTCGGGGGATTAGTTCGTCTCGGGAGGGCCGCGCCAGCTGTTGGGGACGCCAGCTGTTGGGGCAGAGGGGCGGGAGGTATTCGCGGGCGCTCTCGCCCCACCCACTCGGGAGGGGCCATGTCCCTAGAATCAGGGAGCAGAGGAAAGGACCTTGAGGTGTCTGGAGCGGAGTCGTCTGCATCAGCGGCGGCTCCCAAGCAGTGCCTAAGCCCCACGCGCCCAGAGAGCTTCTGTGGGCACAAACGGAGGGCCGGGCGGCCTGCGCGGGGCCGGGACCTGCTTCCAGCCCACCTTGGGGCACGCCGAGTTCGGGTCGGACCCAAGGCCTCAGTGTCCCTCGCACGCCACCTCTGCCAGGCACCCCATCCCTGCCCTTTCCTGCAGCCCCGGCCCTCCACCTCGACCCGGTCCCTTCGTCCCCGCCCCTGCCCCATCTTCCTGCGCAGGGCGCCCTGTCTTCCTCCCGCACTCCCGTCCCTCCCAGGCCTCTGAGGTTCTTCCAGCCCCGAAGCCCCCCGGCCTCATCGCCCCTCCGACCCGCCCTTCCGGCCCCTCTCCGCTGAGCCTCTGACCTGCCCCGCGCTCCGTCCCCGAGTTCGCTCCACTTCCCTCCCCATGGCCCTGACCCTCTTCCTTCTCTCCCGCAACCTGAGGGG